TATCATATAAAGTAATAAATGTACTTATTTGTTTTGTCAGCTCTTCAAAATCATGACTGCAGAAAGGAACAACAAAGAATTATGTACAGTATGTGAATGTTAATTTGGTAAAATAACTGGTTTTGATTGCAAATTCACTCCTCCAAAAATGACAAAACCATGGTTGTGTATGTCTACTGAAATTTATTGACTCAAATCATTTAATTAAAGCTGTTGTTTTTCCCTTAAATATATTTCACAATTTCTCCAGTATGTAAGCAACAGCTCAGTTTGGAATAATGACTAAACATTTTTAAATGTTAAATGTATTAATTTTAAGTGGTAGATCCTTATAAACAAACAGATTTAAAAGGTTCTCACCTCTGATCACTTGGAGGTTAAACTGATGACTCCACTTTCCAACATCTCCACACTGATATGTTCCAGCATCCTCTGAACTCAACTGTCTGATGGTCACTGTGAGGGCTCTGGGACAGTCATCTAATATATCAAATCTGTCTTTATGAATCCATGTGTTACACTGTTCATACTTAATAACTGTAATATATTCACACTCAGTTTGTGTTTTCATTTTGCAAATATGTGTCTTTGCCCTTCCATAGTCATCGTAGTTACAGGTGATTGTAACTCTTCCTCCTGGAAAGCCGATCACATCAATACCGGCCACTCCACCTGTCAATGACATTCAACATTTCACTGACCTCTCTGATCTTATTAAGAACAACTACATACAGCTCCTCATCCATCATGTAAAATCTGAATCTGACACTCCTCACTAATACCTTTAATAGTTTCTGTTCTGTAGTTTAACTTTCTGTTGTTTCTACTTTATTTTGAAGCAGTGAATCTGACCTGAGATCAGGTGGAGGGTGAAGATGAGGAGAATCTTCATTCTGGTCTAAACTTCAGTCTCAGTGATGTTCATATAAACTCCAGTCCACCGTTCTCCAAGGTCAGTCCTGTACTGTTCATAGGGAAACGGCTCCTTTCAGTGTGACACGAAACACTTGTATGTAAATTATATGTATTTGTGTCTGTGGCTGGTTTCCTGTTTCTTTAAAATGTATCTGATACTCAGCTTCACAGCTCCTCCCACCAACATCCCTAACCAGCTTCACAGTTCCTCCCACCAATATCACTAACCAGCTTCACAGCTCCTCCCACCAACAACACTAACAACACTAACCAGCTTCACAGTTCCTCCCACCAGCATCACTAACCAGCTTAACAACTCCTTCCACCAACAACACTAACCAGCTTAACAGCTCCTCCCACCATCATCACTAACCAGCTTCACAGCTCCTCCCACCAACATCACTAACCAGCTTCACAGCTCCTCCCACCATCATCACTAACCAGCTTCACAGCTCCTCCCACCAACCACACTAACCAGCTTCACAGCTCCTTCCACCAACCACACTAACCAGCTTCACAGCTCCTCCCATCATCATCACTAACCAGCTTCACAACTCCTTCCACCAACAACACTAACCAGCTTCACAGCTCCTTCCACCAACAACACTAACCAGCTTCACAGCTCCTCCCACCAACATCACTAACCAGCTTCACAGCTCCTCCCACCAACATCACTAACCAGCTTCACAGCTCCTCCCACCAACATCACTAACCAGCTTCAAAGCTCCTCCCACCATCATCACTAACCAGCTTCACAGCTCCTCCCACCAACATCACTAACCAGCTTCACAGCTCCTCCCACCAACATCACTAACCAGCTTCAAAGCTCCTCCCACCATCATCACTAACCAGCTTCACAGCTCCTCCCACCAACATCACTAACAACACTAACCAGCTTCACAGCTCCTCCCACTAACAACACTAACAACACTAACCAGCTTCACAGCTCCTCCCACCAACAACACTAACCAGCTTCACAGCTCCTCCCATCAACATCACTAACCAGCTTCACAGCTCCTCCCACCATCATCACTAACCAGCTTCACAGCTCATCCCACCAACATCACTAACCAGCTCCTCCCATCAACATCAACCAGCTTCACAGCTCCTCCCACCAACATCACTAACCAGCTTCACAGCTCCTCCCACCAACATCACTAACTAGCTTCACAGCTCCTCCCACCAACATCACTAACCAGCTCCTCCCATCAACATCAACCAGCTTCACAGCTCCTCCCACCAACAACACTAACCAGCTTCACAGCTCCTTCCACCAACAACACTAACCAGCTTCACAGCTCCTCCCACCAACATCACTAACCAGCTTCACAGCTCCTCCCACCAACATCACTAACCAGCTTCAAAGCTCCTCCCACCATCATCACTAACCAGCTTCACAGCTCCTCCCACCAACATCACTAACCAGCTTCATAGCTCCTCCCACCAACATCACTAACCAGCTTCAAAGCTCCTCCCACCATCATCACTAACCAGCTTCACAGCTCCTCCCACCATCACTAACAACACTAACCAGCTTCACAGCTCCTCCCACTAACAACACTAACAACACTAACCAGCTTCACAGCTCCTCCCACCAACATCACTAACCAGCTTCACAGCTCCTCCCACCAATATCACTAACCAGCTTTACAGCTCCTCCCACGATCATCACTAACCAGCTTCACAGCTCCTCCCACCAACAACACTAACAACACTAACCAGCTTCACAGCTCCTCCCACCAACAACACTAACCAGCTTCACAGCTCCTTCCACCAACAACACTAACCAGCTTCACAGCTCCTTCCACCAACAACACTAACCAGCTTCACAGCTCCTCCCACCAACATCACTAACCAGCTTCACAGCTCCTTCCACCAACATCACTAACCAGCTTCAAAGCTCCTCCCACCAACATCACTAACCAGCTTCACAGCTCCTCCCACCAACATCACTAACCAGCTTCACAGCTCCTCCCACCAACATCACTAACCAGCTTCAAAGCTCCTCCCACCATCATCACTAACCAGCTTCACAGCTCCTCCCACCAACATCACTAACAACACTAACCAGCTTCACAGCTCCTCCCACTAACAACACTAACAACACTAACCAGCTTCACAGCTCCTCCCACCAACAACACTAACCAGCTTCACAGCTCCTCCCATCAACACCACTAACCAGCTTCACAGCTCCTTCCACCAACAACACTAACCAGCTTCACAGCTCATCCCACCAACATCACTAACCAGCTCCTCCCATCAACATCAACCAGCTTCACAGCTCCTCCCACCAACAACACTAACAACACTAACCAGCTTCACAGCTCCTCCCACCAACAACACTAACCAGCTTCACAGCTCCTCCCACCAACATCACTAACCAGCTTCACAGCTCCTTCCACCAACATCACTAACCAGCTTCAAAGCTCCTCCCACCATCATCACTAACCAGCTTCACAGCTCCTCCCACCATCATCACTAACCAGCTTCACAGCTCCTTCCACCAACAACACTAACCAGCTTCACAGCTCCTTCCACCAACAACACTAACCAGCTTCACAGCTCCTCCCACCAACATCACTAACCAGCTTCACAGCTCCTTCCACCAACATCACTAACCAGCTTCAAAGCTCCTCCCACCATCATCACTAACTAGCTTCACAGCTCCTCCCACCAACATCACTAACAACACTAACCAGCTTCACAGCTCCTCCCACTAACAACACTAACAACACTAACCAGCTTCACAGCTCCTCCCACCAACAACACTAACAACACTAACCAGCTTCACAGCTCCTCCCACCAACAACACTAACCAGCTTCACAGCTCCTTCCACCAATTTAAGGTGGAACGGGAAAATTTGAAAGAGAAGCTGGCGAAAAAAAATGACTTCAGCTTTATACATCCAAAGAATTAGGTGTGGGTGATAATGAACCATTTTCACATCCCCGCTCTTTGAAGTCATATGATGCCCTAAATGTAAGTAAAGCCCAGCAGTGAGGAGCTGAACTTTACCTTCCTCTGCTGTCACTGCAGACTGGCAGGGTCGCCTACAGAGCAGCGCTGGTAGCTGTTAATGAAGTGATGCTCTTTTTATTTGAGGGTCTCATTTCGGAGGGAAGATTTCAACCACTACCCCTTATAACTCAGTTCCAAGGGGCAAGGAGACACTCGAAAACAAGGGTAGGGGTAAAAATAAGAAATTAAATTGGGCCCAAGTTTAACAGAGAAATAAAGGGTGAATGTTGGTGGGTGGGTTATAGTCTTACACTTACTCTTACTCACCGATGTAACCAGCCAATGGGATCATCCTCCTACAATAAAGATTTGTCACACATGAATACCGAAAATATTTGACTATGATGAAATCTACCTACATTATGCTTATACAGTGAATTCAGTACAGCAAACCGAGTCTGTATGAGAACACTACAATAGTTTTCTTAATCTTCACCTTTACTTCTGTGCACTGTTCAGTAAACTGTGATGTGTCCACTTCACACTTTTAGACGTCCTTTGATATCTGTAATGAATTATTATGATCACTTTTTTGTCAGATTTTATAGGTTTTTGAGTTTTATACTACTTTGTTGTTTTTCTTATTAAAATTGCTTCTGGTGGGTCATCCTGTGTGCAATTAGACCCTTTTAAATGATCCAGAATGCATCTGTTTGGCTTCTGCGCTCCCTCAGCTCAGAATCATCTCACTCTCTCAGTTCTGAAACTAAACAACAGCAACATTTCATAAATACAGTAAAAACTCTGAGCTCACACTGCACAATATGACCTATGAGGAAAAAAACAAAAAACACATTCTATAGTTTATTTTGAGGTAGAATATCTGACCTGAGGGTGAAGATGAGGAGGATCTTCAGCTTCACTGATGATCTTCAGTCAGTTATTGTTGAACATCTGATTATTTTCTTTCTTTCTCCTAAGAGTGATTTCATTCGCAGAGTGTGTCACACTCATATTTTGAGTGTCTCTGCCTCCAGATCTGCTCCAGGTTCCTCTTTCTGTAGAAAACCTCAGACGTTAAACCTCACAGCTCCTCCCATCACTTACAACATACTAAATCTTATCTCCTGAACCAGCTGAATTGCCTCATTCTGCTCTCTCTCTCTCTCTCTCTCTCTGTCTCTTGATATCTCTCTCTCTCTCTCTCTCTCTCTCTCTCTCTCTCTCTCGTCACACTGTGGTTGTTTCTGTAGAAGCTTCTTCTGCTCTGTGGTCAGCGATGATGGAGAAAATCATGCAATGTGTTGTGAAAGACTTTGTCACCCTAACAGACATACTGTACTGACCCACTAATGGCTCCTCGTGGTGGAATCATGGCCTCACCAGTGTTTTACTCTACAGCAGCACTAACATATAACACTTTATATTAAGGATTGCACATTAAAGATTATTACGGTGATAATAAACCATTAACTACTCATCAATCACACATTAATTTAGTGTTCATTAATTACTGGTTATCGCTTGGATAGGCTCCAGCTCCCCCCACCACCCAGAATGATGGTGCTTAGAGTGTGTGTGTGTGTGTGAATGTGTGTGTGTGTGTGTGGGTTATTACTTAGTAACTGATTATATACTTAGAAATTAACATTATTATTGACTAACCTTTTAAACGATAGTTTAATTTATGTTAATAATTTAGTAGTATTAGTTTTATTGCTCATTACCTGTGTACAAACTACTGCTTATTACACTGCTAATAACTAATAAGTGTGTTTTGTTTATAAATAAGTAGCGAGAAGTTACTAATGATGAGTTGGTGCCTTTAATTATTTATTAACTAATCTACTGATTCTTCCTCAACCTTGTGCACACATAACTTAGCACTTAATTACTAACTATAAATTGGTAGATTACTTAACAGATAATTAATAAGACTAACTCATATTGACTAGCTAGTTTTCATGTTAATCTTGAATAAACACACTAATCTGTTCATTAACAGTGTAATAAGCAGTTAGTACACAGTTAATGAGTGAATAAGATATAAACTAATAACAAAGTAAATGATCAGTTGAGTACATAATAACTAAGTAATAATTAATGCTAAATAAAAAATGACTAACGTACAAAGAATTATTATTTAATTACTTTTTACTGTTTAATAAATTAATCAATTTGTGACCTTTAATGTAAATTGTTACTTGCATTTACAGCAGGTCCTTCAGTCATTGTGTAATTGTGGGTGGTCTGCCCTGCTGTCCCAGCTGTTCTGCTGGGTGGTGGTCCCCCCTGCTGCATTCAATAAAAGAGTCTTCGTTTAAAGTGCTGATTCTGTGTCTTTATCTACACTGAAGCCTCATTGGCATCAGAGGTGGGATGTCACCCCCCAGTGGACTGGAGAGGAGTTCCACTTCCACTAACTCAAAGGCCACCAGCAGGAAGGACTGAGCCCAGCTGAGGACTGCAGAAAAAGAAGCAGCTTGGTGAAGATGGGTGGAGACAGCCGAAGAAACAACAAGGCAAGAACCAGCAGCTGAGCCTGTCAGGAGGACGGTGAATGAGACACTGGCAAGGACCTGCCAGCGGAGTGCCGTGGCAGCCTGGCAGTGTTGGCCTCGGCCCTAGAGTGACATTTGAGCTGGCAGAAGAGCTGAGAGGATCAGATGACACAAACAACATGTATACGCAACTTAAACTAACACACAGCAACATTATCAAAACAACAGGTCCTTTTGATGGAAGGCAGGTGCATAACAAAAGCATTTCTTCCGAGCCACACCTTGAGATTCTCTTGGTGCCAGCACCAGCCAGTAGCAGGATGCTACAGTATCTATCAGCATTCACAGATGTGCACGTTACCCATGCCATGGCCACTAATACAGCCCTGCATACAATGACAGATCCTGGGTTTTGAACTTTATGTTGGTAACAATATAGATGTTCCTTTTATTCTTTGGCCCAGAAAACAAAATTTCCATTATTTCTATAAACAATCTGTACTGTTGACTCATTCGACTAAAGACACATTTCCAGTGTAGTCCATTTCAGATGAGTCTGAACCCAGAGAAGTCGGTGGTGTTTCTTGACATTGTTAACACATGGATTGTACAGTCTTGACTTGCATTTGTAGATGCAGCAATGAACAATGTTTATTGACAGTGGTTTGTCAAAATATTCCTGAGCCCGTGTAATGATATCCATCATAAAAGCATACTGTGTTTTTTTAATACAGTGCTATCTGAGGGATCACAGTTTTGGTTTTTGACCTTGACCTTTGCACACAGAGAAGTCTCTGGATTCTCTTAATCTTCTGATTATACTGAGTGGGAAAAAATAAAATCTTTGTAATTACTCATGGAGAATTGCTGTTCTCAAAATGCAGGATTATTTGCATTGTATTTTTTGGCAAAGTGGTGAGTCTTGACCCATCATTGCAGAAAAGGAACTAGATACTTAGTAACACTCCTTTTGGCAGATTTCACAGCATATATATGCTTTATATATGCTTTATGTGCTGCTAGGAGTCTTCATATTCTTGTTTAAGGAATTTTCACCCACTCCCTCACACTTAGATACTCATATGGACTCCATCTCCCAGAACTCTCTGGGAGATCACCTGAGTCATAACAGGTCCTCTCGCTCCAATCAGTGCTTTGGATCTCCGGAGTGCTAATGTTTGTCAAATGTGTCATTAGTCATATGGCTTACTTCAGTATATAAGCCCAGTCTTTAGCATTAGATAGTTGTGAGGTATTGTATCCATTTGTGACCTACTGAGCATCCTATATATTGTTTGCATCTTGTGTATGACTATTGCCTTTTGTTCTCTTGACTGTGCCTTTTGCTCTGTCCCCTGCATTGTTTGCACATATTGACTGATTCCTGTTTTTGAACTTTTTGCCTTTTTTTCCACAACACCTTTTCGCGTCTCTCTTTTGGGCTGTTTGCCTTGTGTTATGTTCATCTGTTTATATTTGCTAAGCCTGTTGGATTTGACCCCTGCCTGTTTTGTGACTACGACTCTGGATTCTGAATCTCACAGTAAGACCTCATTTGTGTTTTACCGTCCACGAGCATCTGATTCTGGTTGGCACATTACAACATGAAATAAAAAAGTCGAAGTTGATCAGGTAAAACAGGCCGTGTTTTAAATACAGGTCAAATTAGATTTGCAAATCACTGCTGTATGTGTTTATTTGCATTAAAACTCATTTAAAAAGAACATTTTTCCAAAAAGAATTAAGTAAGAAGATAATTATTCACCACAAAGACAGAACTTACTGCTGAAAAATTATATTTAGAACACTTCAGCATCTGACTGATGTTCCTTTCAAATACATATATTTATTAAACACCTGGTTTTATTCAAAGTGACTTAAACAACAGCAAATGAGTAAACAGTGCAGTAAATAAAACCATGTCATGACATCATGTAAGGACTGAAATGTAATTTAGTTTACATTACATTCATTAATTTAGATTAGTAATAAAATAAACCTGTTTTGTAAGTTCACCAAAAATTCTTGAGAGCAATAATCTAATACGTAATGAATTTAATACAAACATTGTGTTTACAGAACTACAGTTGAGTTCAACAGGTTTCTTCTGATTTCCACATGTGGATCTGAGTAGAAAGCCAGAGTGAGAAGATGTGTGATGTTTCTATCATGATCAACACAAAATAGAACTGCCATCTATTGCTGCAGTGCTTTGGGATTGAAGGGTTTATACAGCTGATATTGGGTTTAACTCTTTAAGTGCTGGCATTTCAGCTCTGATAGACTCAGGCTGACTGGTTTGTGTTAGAGTCTAGAAAAGCGGAGTCCAGTCTAATCCTAGTAGAAGCATACACGATCAGTTGTTTAAAGATTGAAACTAACTGATTAAACAGGTTGAATCAGGTGAACTCCTGATTATTTAAAAGGAAAATTTGCAGCTACACCAGCCAGAATATGACTGGACACCCCTGGTCTACACTTTGATAATAACTTCGATTATTTGGTCTTGAAGTTGAGGTTCTGATAGGCTGATTGGTTGGGGTTGGGCCTTAGACTCTGGTAAACTGAATCTGATTGGGTGGTGATGGGAATTAGACTCTGGTAGGCTGAATGCGATTGGGTGGTGTTGGGGATTAGACTCTGATAGGCTGAATCTGATTGGTTGGTGTTAGGGTTTAGACTCTGGTAAGCTGAATCTGATTGGCTGATGTTGGGGTCCAGGCTCTGATAGATTGGACCCATGCTTATGTTATTCTGGTTTCCAGGTGGATCATTTTCATAATCAGCATCAGCCTGAAACCAGAGTAAAGAAAATACAGTAGAAAATAACTCATTAGTCTTTACATTAGTCTTTACATCACATTCAGCATGCATATGTGGCTGTGACATCATGGGCTCCCAACTCTGGCCCTGAGATCTACTGCTGTGGAGATTTTAGTTTAAACACACCTGGATCTAATATTTAGACACTCCTGAAGTTGATCATTAACAGGATCAGATGTTAGATTAAGGCTGTAACTAAACTCTCCAGAACAGGGTTGGACACCCCTGCATTACACGTAGAACAAAATCAAATGCTAAAGATAAATAAAAACCAAAAAGAGTTTTACTGTTTGCTTTACACATCTTAATTAGTTCAACAATATCTATTTTTTCCACTGTGCTCTATGAAGGCTGCAGTGTAAGCAATCAGTTGTTCCATTCTACACAGCAGCATTTCATTATTTTAATAAAGTGGTGTCTTTTTCTTCTTTTCTTTATACATTTCATGCTTTTATTGTTGAATATTTGTATAATATAGAAGAGATAACACCAGTGTAAGTCACTTTGGCCAAAGGTATAAATTAAATGGAATTGTACAGTTGAAATAAATCAAATACTTTTAGACCCTGTAGCCATTTCATCACTTACTCTGTTGTGTGTTCTTGTCTGAGTGTTTGTAGAAACAGATCCTGCAGAACAAGAGAAGATGTTAAAGAAAAAGCTGTGTTCCACAAGAAGCTGAGGAGATCTTTAATAACTCAGATCTAATTTAAGCATCTATTAAAGTATTACATTTCTACACAAACTACTTTTATGATCACAGGTTGGTTTCCCAGATTGAGATTCAGCCTAAGTCTGGACT